AAGGAAAGGAGAGAATACCCATTCCTAAGAGGTCTGTAAGGGGCGTGCATAAGGGCACCATCGTGCTTCCCATCCCTATTGCCTCCAAAAGTTGTGGGTGTTTCATCAATGGAGGTTTTTAAGAAGAGACTGGGCAGCCAGTTGTCTCCTGCTTGAGCAGGGGGCTGGACTAGAAGACCTCCAAGGTGCCCTTCCAACTCTATTCTGAATTGAGATCTAGTCCTGCCTTAGTTTGTCTCTCTCAGCACCAACCCCTTCACAGGGTTGTTGTTTGGGGGGTGGGGGGAATAGGAGGAGAAAGATATGTTGGATATATTTGAGTTATTTTTGAAATTGATAAAGGTGGGATTTCAATCAATCAATCAATCAATCAATCAAATCACCCCAAGATGGAAAGCAGACTGTTCTGTCATTTTCCTAACCCCAGAAGCACCTTCCACTCCCCTAACAAAACATCACTTCAAACAACCACCCCACCAAGTGCGTCCTCTGTATCGCAGTCTTTTTTCCCCTTGCAATATATCAAATAATCTTCTCATATTTCACCTCTTACCTGTAAACAAAGCTTCAAAGCTTCATCATTCAGTCCTGACGTCACCCAGAAGTCCAGAAGAGTTCCAGGAAAGAATGCATCTATTTTAGCCACGATTAAATAAACTGTCATGCCCCTGTTGGAGACTGACTCTGAGGGAGAGGAGGAACAGCTGACAGGGAGTGGGAGTGTGGCTCCGGAGGTTGTGGAGGAGGCTGGGGAAGGGCAGAGGCCGGCTTGGCAGACAGAGGAGGACCCAGGCCCATCCCCTCTCCATCCTAGGGCACGCAGGGAGGAGAGGATAAGGGAGAGACGTGGTCTACTTGGGAGGAGAGAGCCTTGATCCTCTTCATGGGCTGCAGCTGTGACAACTGGATAAGACGATGGACATGGGCAAGCGCTGAAAACAAACCATGGAAATATCTCTAGTTTATGGTCCCTCTCTAAGTTTGGCGTCCTTCCCAGTGTGTGTTCTGTTATCTGTGGACGTCTTCCAGCCCTTATCTTGCCTGGTTTGTGTTGCTTTTTTCCTTCTTCTTGTAACTGTTTGTGTGGGAGTTTTTTTTTTTTTTGTCTTCCATCAAGGATATTCAGAGCTTGGAAACAAAGTGAAGGAATAAAAGGGGCTTCACCTGTTTTCTGTAACTGTGGCTTCTGTTTCTCATCCCACCATGAGTCATCAGATAAACCAACTTTAGATACCTTCCCCTTACGTTACTTTTAACAATCTTAAATGGTATTGTTTTTGTTTTGTATTCCTTCCCTTTACTTTTAATCTTCTCAAATAAAGTCCCGAAACTTGATTTCTTTTCATTGCCCCCCTGCTCCCGCCCCCAGCTTTTTTCCTTCTCACAAAATTCTAACGCAACTTTAAAAGATCTTGTGAAGTGGGTGGGTGGGGGAAACAGACATGGGGGAATTTTGCAAAGGCGTTTGTGTTGGGAAGATGCTGTGTGGAGTGTCTCTCTGAGTCCCTCCAACTGCTAGGCTGCCCTCTTGGGTTGCGTGACGGGGAGTCCCATTGTTGGCTATTTTTGGACCACAATTTCTATATGTACAGGGTTGCTGGTCTGGCAACCTTGGGGCGTTTGTTGCAGAGTCTGCAAACAACAGTCACGTTGCATGGCGTTGCTTTCTTGTTGCTGTGTGGAGTGTGTATCCTGACACTTCCTTTCTAAGAGGAGGGAAGAGTATCACACTCCAGCATGCCATTTCAGCATTTCAGCCGTTGGGAAGCTTCCTTATTTTAAGTTTCACAATTAAGAAACCCCCTGCCCACCATTCCTGCTCCTTCCCGCTGCTTAGATGAAGTGGTGAAGTGAAATGTCAATCAAATCAAGGGAAAAGACCGAACGCACACACAAAATTAAAAAAAAAAAAAAACCACGAGAACGTTGAGCCAGTTGCAAAAATATTGGAGACAAACCCAGGTCCACCAAATATTGGACAAAAATACATATCTGGCTGGAAAAGATGATAAAGCAGACTATTGATTTAAAACCAGAAATATTTTTGTTGGGGATTTTACCTGAAACTTATAGGAAAGGGAAGGGATATTTAATTATCCATGTATTAACTGCAGCTAGAATTGTATTTGCACAAAATTGGAAGTGTGAAGAAATTCCTACCAATGATAATATGATTAGGAAAATATTAGAATGTGCAGAAATGAATAGATTAACGCTGGCAATTAAGGAGAAAGAACAAACAGAACATTATACGACATGGGAAATTTTTCTATCGGTGTTTATAGAGGAGAAAAATGGAAGTTAGATTAGTGAAATATAGAAAATATGTTAAGATAGAGATGTAAACAATATGATGACTGTTACTGGTATGATTAGTAGACTTACTATGTTTAATACTATCCCTATAGTCTTATTAAAAGAATATAAGGATAATATTAAACATAGATTAATACTATAGAGGGAGAAATGAATATCATGATTGCAAAATTAGAAAAGCAATATTAATGTAATGTATACTGCTGTAAATTTAGATGGTTATTGCACAGAGATATTTGTACTCAGATGGCATACTGTTTAATGGAAGATGGAATGTTTACATTAAAATAATAATAATAGTAATAATAATAATAATAATAATAATAATAAAAACAAGACAGGATAGCAGTGTTTCAATATTTAAGGGGCGGCCACAGAGAGGAGGAAGGGGTTAAGCTATTTTCCAAAGCACCTGAAAGCCAGAAGGAATAATGGATGGAAACTGATCAAGGAGAAATTCAACCTGGAAATAAAGAGAAATTTTCTGACAATGAGAACAATTAAACATGGAACAGAAGTTTCCTTCAGAAGTTGTGGGATAATGTCCCTGGTTGTACTTGTGTGTGTTTTTTATTATTATTATTCATAAACATTTTGAATACAGCGTATTGTTAGGGCATATCATTTCCAGAAAAGCCAAGAAAAAACAAAAAGAAATATTAACCTACATACTAATAATAACAATAGTGTAACAGAATAGCTTTGACTAGATTTCTCTTGATATTAGCTTATTTATAATTCTGTTGGTTGTATTGGCATATTTGTAATGATAAACCACCTTTCAATTTAATTCATGGATAGCGACAATCTTTCTTCCTCTAATTTCTACCTCTTATCTCTAACCGCTCCTAAAATCTATTCCATCTTAAGTAGTATTCTGTGTCTTCAGATAATCAGATAATCAATAATAGATTTTTTTTAAAATTTTTCAAGATTTGGTTCTATTACACTTTATTCATTTATTTGATTCTTTTTGTTAGTTGTTATTGTTTTTTATTTTTACTTTTTGTTTTAAATAGGGTTTTACATTAAGCCGCCTTGAGTCGCCATGGGCGAACAGTCAGCAATATAAATTAAATAAATAAATAATCAGAGTTGGAAGGGGCCTTGTAGGTCATCTAGCCCAACCCCCCCACCTAAGAAGGAGACCCTACACCATTTCTGACAAATGGCAGTCCAATCTCTTCTTGAAAGCTCCACATGATGATGCTTGAAACCTTCAAGAAAAGATTGGACTGGCATTTTAAGTAGCATTCTGTGCCTTCTTTGTCCTTTATTTTTAATGTTGATCCATCCATCTCTGCACAGCCTAATATTTTCCGAATTACATCCTCATCTGATGGGAGTGTTCTAATTTTTCCAATATTGTGCAAATGCTACGGTCAAGACACACTGCGATGACCGAGGGTGGGATACAAAATAAACAGTTACAGAAAACAGGTGAAGCTCCTTTTATTCCTTCACTTTGCTTCCAAGCTCCGAATATCCTTGACTGGAGACAAAAAACTCTCCCACAAGCAGTTACGAAAAGGAGGAAATGCCATTTAAACTAAAAATGTCTATAAAATAAAAAGAGTAAAAACAACACAAACCACACTGAAGCAATTAAAGGAACCAGACAAAATAAGGGCTTGAAGACGTCCACAGATATCAGTACACACACGGAAAAATAGAATGGAATGGAATGGAATGGAATGGAATGGAATGGAATGGAATGGAATAGAATAGAATAGAATAGAATAGAATAGAATAGAATAGAATTAGAATTCTTTATTGGCCAAGTGTGATTGGACACACAAGGAATTTGTCTTGGTGTCAATACTCTCAGTATACATAAAAGAAAAGATACATTTGTCAGGAGTCGAGAATCATAAGGTACGACACTTAATGATAGTCATAGGACACCAAACTCAGAGAAGAACGACAGATCAGAGGTATTTCCACACTTTGTTTCCAGCACTCGCCCATATGCATGTCCGTCCTCTTATCCAGTTGTCACAACTGCAGCCCATGAAGGGGATCAGGGCCCCTTCCTCCCCTGTGGACCATGCCATTCCCATCTCCCCTTTATCCTCTCCTCCCTGTGTGCCCTAGGATGGAGAGGGGATGGGCCTGGGTCTTCCTCTGAATGCCCATCCGGCCTCTGCCCTTCCCCAGCCTCCTCCACAACCTCCGGATCCCACTCTCTGTCAGCTGTTCCTCCCCTCCTTCGGAGTCCATCTCCAACAGGGGCATGACACATGCAAAAGTGTGTATTCGCAGTCGCAACATTTTAAGAAGGGCCAAAAACGTTGGAATCGATGCGGCTTCGTTTATTTTTTACTCACGTCATTCTTGCTGAAATGATCCAGGATGGAGGGCAGGAGGGGCAAAATCAGGGTGAAGCCCAGCAGGTCAATAAGCAGCGCGAGAAACACGGCAAGAATGACGCGGGAAGAGTTTTCCTCCGCCCTCCGGGTGCCCGGGTCCCCTTGTGACATCTTCTGGAGGAGCCCTCTCTATGGTCACTGAATGGTCTCAAAACGTCAACTCTGGCTGGGGGATTCTGGGAGTTGAAGTCTTCGAGGTCTTGCCAAGATTGAAGACCCCTGCAATACAAAATGAGAGTCATCGTTGGGGCAGAGATGTGGATTTGTTCCCCGGGGCACATAAGTTGGACAGAGGGAGAGAAAGGAAGCCGGAAGTAGCTGGGATGTCCTGAGAGCTTTGACAGGATGGAAACTGAACAAGGAGAGATTCAACCTGGAAACAAGGAGAAATTTTCTGACAAGTGAGGACAATCAACCAGTGGAACAGAAGTTGCCTTCAAGAAGAGACTGGACTGTCAGAGATGGTGTAAGGTCTCCTGCTTAGGTGGGGGGTTGGACTAGATGACCCACAAAGTCCCTTCCAACTCTTATCCTATATTCAGTGGAACAGAAGTTGCCTTCGGAAGTTGTGGGAAAGCTTCATCCCTGGACGCTTTCAAGAAAAGATTGGACTCCCATCTGTCAGAAATGGTTTAGGGTCTCCTGCTTGGGTGGGGAGGGAGGGTTGGACTAGATGACCCACAAGGTCCCTTCCAACTCTGATTATCTGATCTCTGTTATCTGACAGGCAATTCTCAACTTACAGGATCCTCAACTTACACTGAGCCCCAAATTTCTCTCACCAAGGCAGGAGACGTTCATTCAGTGAATTTTACCCCTCCCCCTTTGTGTATGATCTTTCTGGCCGCCGTTGTTAAGTGAATCACAGCCATGGTTAAGCCGGCATCAACCGTTGTTCTGCGAATTGGGCTTTCCCCATCGACTGCTTGGCTCATCGGACGGTTGCCCAAGGGGAATCACTCATGCACACACACACACACACACACACCGCCCCCAGGGATGCTGTCACCATCATGAATACCAATCCATGGCCCAAGTGTCCAAATTTGGATTCCTTGACCGCTGGAGGGGGGAGGGGAGAGGCTGCAACGGTTGTAAGTATGAAAAAACAGGTCCTAGTTTGCTTTTTTTTTCAGTGCTGTTGAAAATTTTGAAGGGCCACTCAAGGAGGAACAGCTTAAGTTGCAGACTAATCTTTATGCC